AATAGTGTCACATTAAGGTTGTAGAGGTGTTCTAGTATTTCCTGATGTTAGTCTCATGTCTTTCAAAATTCAGTGATGTTCCTTTAACACAGGCTTTGAATGTAATTTTACTCAATGCATGAAGACAGGTACATCTAAGGACTTCACAGTAACTGATGCATTGACAGTTCTGGCAGTTTTCTCAGGTTCATAGTACAGGAAAATTCTACTTCATTGGTAATAGCAGAAAGTAGAAGGGTTTTCTAACCAGGATGTCTAATTGTACTTTCAAGGTGCTTCCTAGGGCCCCTGTGTCTTCAGGATGGGGTGCCAGCCAAGTTTCAGAAGGACTTTATCTAATCCTATAAAAAAAGTTGCCATTTCTGTAACTGGAAAATAACTTATCAGTAAACTCTTCTACACTGAAATATCTTATGATGGCCAGTATCTTTCGGTATTAAAAGTCTGCACTGAACTCTAAGCTGCTCACACAGCAGCTACAGAAGACAAGCTGAAGATTCTGCAGTCTTTTTGCTGCCCAACCCCTCCATGAAATGAACTTCCTCATTTTCCTCTTAGAGTCCCCTTCTTCAGGTCTACTCTCTGAACTTGCGCACCACGACTCTGATATGAGACATTGAAATGTACTCTGTTCCACCATTTTTGTACAGCAGTGTCATATTTCTTCTCTTTGCTATTATTTGGACTTTCTGGCAACACTTTCAGGTGAAAAATATAGGAACATTAAATTACAACAATAGGAACACACACATATCGCCAATGAAAAATGAAAAAGTGAATGAACGTTAAAATTTCATGTCAGAACAGGCCTATAAACCAAGCTATTTTTGGTAAAAATCTGTCAGCAGGTACAATGGTTAAAAGAATTAATACTAAATTTCTGCTACTGGATAACAGGAAGACATAATTTTATAAAAAAGTATAATGCAACCAGTGCTGTGATATATTTAGAGAACTATCAAAATTTAGTCTCATGTTCTTAACATGCAGTGGCAAACTACTGTGCCACTGGTCATTTTTTCAGCCAGGGGTATTGGTTCCTCCTGTTTTATTCTTAATTCTTATTAATATTGGTAACATTACACGGATAAAATGCAATTTTTGATTCTGGTATGCTGCTCTGTTCTAACTATTGCAATGTAGAATTATTTCAATTTGCTATTACTATGAGGTATGTCCTTTATATTTTCATATATCTTTCTGATGAGCAAAAAAAATTGATGTAATGAAACTGCTAACAAGCTGAGCCTTAGAAACCATGGGCAGGTGATGAAAGCCACCTCATGTCTAAAGCATCCCCAGGTCACAGCTGTCACACTCACTGCAATTCATTGCTGTCACAATCTGTCCCTGCTTGTTGTTGCTCTCCTCTTATTCATCCAACTCATATATCTAAACATTCCATTACAAAAAGACATCTACTGTTTGTCTCATGTTGGAAAGGGCACAACACTCTTCTGAAATATAATTCTGAAGATTTCAGAGCTCAGAGTTCACTGCCAAAGCGAAGGTGTTGCTTTGAAAGGCTTCCCTTGTAATTTTGTCTTTGTCTCATCTCCCTGAACATAGCAGGATGAACTGTTTGGTTAGTACATGATCTCAGCTTTATTCCAACTTCTTATCATGAAGAAATGACATATTGTCCAGAAACAGAAAGGCATTTGAAGCTTTGTGAGTTTAAAGATAACATCATGAACTGTGAACTCAGTGAATTGGAAGGAAAGGTCAGCAAGTCATCTACTGTGGCACTGTTCACAAAGTTAATTCTTCTATCCAATGAACCAGGTTGTTTATAATCTGAAGACTCAGATTTGCTAAAATACAATTTTGTTGTTTGCTACTTAATTAGATAAGGTTACTATTGAATTACTTTTCAGAGTAGAAATTTCTCATAGGTCTTCTAACTTTCAAGTAGAGTTGAAAACACCTTGTACTCTAATTTCAAATCTACACTGTCATTTCAGGTTACAACTATGATTGTTGTAACAAGATGAGTGATTCACAAACATTTCAAATCAGCTTGTGGAAACACTGGTACTGAGGAAAAATATTTAAGTAAAATTGGGGTTAAAAGCATGAGCTGGAAGATAATGAAAACAAAAGCAAAAAGTCTAAAAATGTACCAGTAAAAGAAAGGAAGATATGATTCTAATAACAAACAGTTTTGTGACAGAGAACAACTGCACTATTTATCCTTTCCCGTAAAAATAAAGAAAAAAGGAGGTTTGAACTTCTCACATCTATTCTCCAAGGTATTTATTTTGATTGCAGTATAAGTTATTATTCATAAACTTTATATTGCCAGTGCAAGGTTCAAAAAGTATGCTGATTAGAGAGTTTCCTGATCAACTACTCAGTGCATATAATTCAGTGGACACTGAAATCACAGCCTCTGACTATGCCTAGTAAGGAACAGGTAAATTGCCAGTGACATTACGTCCATGCTCGTGGGAAGAAAATCCCCTTAACAATGACCTCATGCTTTTATGTTACTGGGGTTTATGTTTCAATCCTGTCAAGTATAAAAAATAGGAACATAATTACGTGTCCATGCTATCTCTATCCATATGACCATGTTCGTCTGCCATAGACAAAAACACAGGACATAAATCCAGACATATGTTGTATCACAAAGGGGCTGAAGGAAAGAGTAGGGAAGTCCGCAAGAGTAAGTTCCTTAGCCCTTACAGTATTACTGGACTATGTGCAGTAAACTCTTACATTTAAAAGTGAGTTTTGGATGGCAGATTAACACCTGTGTTCATGTATTTACCTGTAGTACAAACACGTGAGCAACATGTCATAAGCCTTGACTGAAGAAGTCACAGCAGCACTTAGGTAGTGTCTCCATCAGGTTCTACGTAAATGGCCTAAAACTCTAGCTCAATTGTGCAAACTTTAAAAAATGTGTATTTCACCCTTGAGTGAGCACACTTTTCTAAACAGAACTTAGGTTAATTTGGCAATTTAAAAACACTCTATTGTAAATCCATATCTTTTTAATTTATGGTTATGTGCAAACCAGATGGGAACACAATACCTGGTTTGTTAAATAACTTGCACAAGATGTTATGCCAGGAGCTGCACAAAAGTTGGCAGCTATGATGAAGATTTTATTGAACTGAATATGGGGTAGTTAAATTTTCAGAAATGACAGAGATAAATAGTGCAGATTATTAATAGAAACAAATGCTTAAATAGGCTTTTTTTTTTTTTTTTAATTCTTTTTCAGTTACAAAGTGCTGCTAAAATGTTTCAAACAGAGAACCAAAACTGCTAGGTACTTTCAAAATCTTCACCTAGATTATACTGAAACTATCTTTCCAACTAGATACACTACAAGAATGAACTTGTTAAGAAGTAAAAGAACTCTGGAATAAGTAAAATTTTTTGATAAGGCACTGCCTATGGTTAAAATAATATATGAAGCTACATGAAGTCAGTCTCCCTTTCAGATTCCAATACTTTTAAATCTACTCAACAGGTTTAGATCAGATGAGACACAAGTACTTAGTTAAGTGCTTCCTGGGTACAGCAATGTTCCCCTAATGGGGTGAGATCTGTAAACACACCAGGACTTGTTTTCCACCAAAGGAAAAGTTTTTTACATAGCCCAGGAGCTATGTTGTATTCCAAATGTACCTGATTTTGGTAACTGGAGACAAAGATCAGGGCTCACATCGGGGTATGCTCCAACAGATATATTTAAATGTAGGCAACAGTAACTTAGGCAACTTTAATAGCTAGAACTAGCTTGTAAATCAAGCTAGAAGTCAGCTTGTCAAAGTTTAGAAACCAAAGGTTACCTATGCTTCTGAAGGTCAAATTTTTTTTTACAGATGAAATCACATAGCTCACAGAAAATGAAAGACAGGAAAACAGTAGGAAAAATAGTGAAAACAAAGTTTTGTTGCCATAGTTATCCATATTTGTCAGGTGTCATTTAGCATGTGCTCCATCCCAATCTTCATTTTTTTAGTAATACCAGTGGTCGCTGTTTCAATTAAGAAAATAAATTCAGAAGGAAATAGAGCACTATGTATGTTACATCAAGAACTTCAAAACTTTTGCAACTCTTGATCGAAGGTACAAGAGATTTACCTATTTTTTGTCAAAGGAATTACATTAATGGACACATTTCCAGTGTTGCCCTAAAATATCAAATAGTCTTCCTTCATGTGTGCATTTCTAACATGAATGTTACATAAAAGGATAAAAGTTTGTGTACTTTCTATAGTTCATTTATTAGAACTAAAGGATAACAGGTAAAATGTAGATATCTGAATAAATATCAAAACTAATTATAAATGTCTAGTGGTAAGGGAGAAATGTCTTTATAATGAAAACAGATCGTCTTCAGTCAGAAGGAGAGAAGACTCCATGCCTCTGCTAAATACCTCTATAATCAGATTAATTTAGTTACAGGCAGCAAAGAAAACCTAAAATGTGTAGACAATTTCAGATATTTTTGAGATATCTCTACAATGCTATAATTCTGGCCTGTAGATTCCTGGGTCTGTTCTGTGCAACTTCATTCCATTTCGTTCTGGGATTTGGCAATTTAGTTTCTGCAGAGGCAAAGTATCAAGCCTTTCAGCCTTCTTCAGATAATTTGCAGCTTTTCAGTTCAAATGCTTAGATTTAAAAGTTGGAAGAATGGTCCCTTCTAATTTAAGAAAGGAGTAATTTCTTCCTTGATATTTTGAGGAATGTTGCCATCAGATTAGAGACTATGAAATGTGAGAAATCAGAAAGCTGTGTATTCTGTATCAAAATGCTTCAACTTGAGCACTCTTTTAATATTGCTTTAGAGAGAAGGAGGAGAACTGAGAAGATAATGCTGGCCATCAGCAGCCTACTGTGTTCCCAGAGGCAGAACAGTTGGGTTTCTCATATATATTGACTTTATGACTTACCTCATAAGATCTGAAACCTACCCACCTTTATAATGTTTATTATAGTTGTGAGTAGATTTATTTTTTTCTTTTCAATATAGTTACCTTAATAACAGATGTCTCAACTCTGGATGGAGGACTCTGCACTTGTGCTGCTGCCGCCATGTTGGCGATGGTACTAAGGTGATTCATCTGGCTCATTGCCATCGTGACAGATGCTGGAGGTAGGCTCACGGGAATTAGCGGGTGGGGCATCATCATAAAAGGAAGTTCCAGTCCTGGGGGAGGAAAAAAAAAAAAAGGGAAATAGGTTTATGCTCCTTTTTAAAACACTGTCTTTTTTCTTCCTGATGGTCAGTATTCAAGTGATGGGTGACAAGATGGTTCACATTGCAGGACAAAGCAGCTATGTGTCAGTTCTCTCCTGGGATATACATGGGTAAATCACCAGCAACTATGGAGGGTTTCTAGCCACAAGGAGAGGCTATTAGACCTCTTACAGTTTGTTCATATCAGTGTAATGTATGGTATCATTGCTAAGCGATGGCTGTTTATTATCTTTTTAAATATCTGCTGTAAGGTGCCTTAGCAATGCACTATTATGCCACTGATGCACAGGTTAGCAGTTATTTTAAGTATCAATTTTATTGCAGACGTATTTGTTCTTTATTGTCTCCACTTCCCCTGCTTAATACTTTAAAGGAAGTATTCCAATATTCCCCACATCTTTGATTTTTCATCGCCTATTTATATAAACACAAAATAAAGACAGGAACTGGAAAACTGCTTATGTTAGTGCTGAAAGATGTCAACCCGTACCATTTGGCAGAAGATGGTTCTGTTGAAGAGGGTTGAGAGGATGGCTAACTGGAACATTATGCTGTCCAGGCAAGTTGGGGTGGTTAACAGAGGTCTGTGATCCTTGGGTGGGGGGAGACTGAAGTTTTTCTTTATCCCAAGAACCATCACTGCTGCCTGTGGGGAATGAATATATATTATTTGGATGAAGGAAGACTCCAAATTTGCAATGTCTGAATTTGCAAGTTAGGCCAGCAATCTAACCTTTTTTGCAAGTGGCATTTTTAAATTTTATTCTTTATTTTTAATAGTTGGGTTGGGGGATGGACTTTTGTTTGGATTTTTTTGCCCATCTTCTGAAAAGGATAGTTAAGGACAACTTTTTTGAGCTGGAACACAAATCTAAAAGTATTGCTAGTTGTGCTCATTCACATGGAGTTTGTGTTTGACGGATTTGACACATACTTTTGCCATTCTTAGCAAGTAAAACTATATTTGGCATTTGTTTTATACATGAGATAATATTTTTGCCTGCAAAATGTCTAAAAAGTAATATTGGTTGTTATGTCAATTAAAATTTAAACTACATTCATATTTCTTCTTGTATTTGTGAATAACTAAACATTATATGAAGTAACTAAAAATTTAATTTATTGAGGGCACCAACATGCATATGTATGTGCTTGGCTGATGATTCTATTTTGTAAATTCAATTTTTATTTCATGTTATTTTTTAAAATGTAAGAGATTATTAATCAATTCCTGCAGTCTTCTGGTACTGGAATGGACTAACAGCTAGAAAGAATGTGGACGCATAAGTCTTGAGATGAGCAGTAATTCATCCATTTGAGAAATACCCTTTTTCACTATTGCAAACCTCCTTATATAAAAATACCCACAGAAATAAGTAGAAGGATACAATTAAAAGACAATACTAAAAATTAATGTAACATTATTGATTTGTACATTTAGATATAATGAAAAGTTTAAAATCTTCCAATCTGGCGACTTACGTTATTCATAGTGCATATTCATATATAGTGCTAAGACTGAGTACGTGTGTGTTTATGCTAAGTAACCTATACACTCATTGTATTAGTTTATTTACCATATACAATCAATAAACAATGTTTGAATATATTAATAAATATGTATATATGCATGCATTCTCAGCAGTATTAACATACACATCAGCAATATATGATTGCTTCCTTTTTCATATAGAGCACCATTTCACCCTCCTGACTTTGAAAGGTTCTACTATTTTAATGGAAATTTCTCTTGATAAGGACTTTAGGATAACATCAGCCGAGACTTATTTAATCTATACTCAATTTCTATTTAGCATTAGGGATTACAGCAAAGTGCATATTTCTGAATGTTTTTCTATATACATCTTACTACTTAATGAACAACAGGGCCTAAAAAACAACAGGACTAATAGCAGCTCCTCCTTACTTCAGTAGGAACAGGATTAGGACATTACTCTTGACATTTTTTAACATCGTTTTCATGAGACGACAAAAGCACAAAAGTTGGTAGAATTCCAATTTAATTTCTCTAGATCTATTAAAAACCTGATTGTAAAAGCTGTACAACATAGTTTATAATGACAA